GCAGACCCTCCGGGCAGACATGGGTGGGTCCAGGGGGTGCTGACAAGGGTGTGCAGTGATGAAGTGGGGCATCCTGACCACACCGTGCTCCTCTGAGTTCACCCAGCACAGTGTCCATGGAGAGTAGTATCTTAGTGGACCAAGAAGAGCTGCACCCCAGAGACACAGGGACGAGACTCATGAGCTGCACTGCCCACTCATGACTGTGGGAGGCTCTCAGCAGACAGGGAGCCCAGTGAGCCCCCACCTGCTCAGGGGTGCCCATGTGCTGGCCAGGTCATGGGACAGTGCACCTCTTCACTCGAGTCCAGGAGTAGGGCAAGGGCACCTGCCCTCCCCTTGTGCCATTAGGTGGTGCTGGCTGTGTGGCAATGCTGTTTCCTCGCAGCAGGTCAAGTCTGGCTCTGTGGGCATCTCTTGCTCCCTGGCCCCCGCCGCCCACAGGGCTGTCCCATCACCTGCTGGCAGGGGCTGTGTTGGGGTTGAGCAGGAAGGGGGCTCGACTCTTTCACTGTCAGCAGGCAGAGGCTGGACTGCGTGGCCACACCTGTGTCCCACTGGGGACTGGCCACTCTTGGCAGCCACGTGCTGCAGTGCAGAGCTTGGAAGACAGTGGATGATGCAGGAGCGTTGTGCTGATGGCCCCTCTTCTACAGGAAGGATGGAGCAGGTTGCAGAGCAAAGAACTTGGGTGTGCTTTTGATGGAGGTGAGTGAGTTCCGCCACCTTGGAAAACAGGATGGAGGTTCCTCCAAGAGTTGAAAGTAAATCTGTGGTGTGACCTGGTAAACCCACCCCTGGGTGTTTACCCAGAAGAAATGGAGTCTGTGTGCAGGAGAGACATCTGCACCTGCGTTCACTACAGCGCTGTTCTCAGAAGCCAAGGAGGGGGAGCAACCTGAGTGTCTGTCAGTAAGACAGTGTGGGGCCACGCATAAAGGAACACTACACGGCCTTCAGAAAGAAGGATGCCCTGTTGTCTGAACAGCACAGAAGAACCTGGGGGACTCTGTCCCAGCTGAGCTACGCCAGGCGCCAAACTGATACCCACGGTCTCATTTCTCTGTGCATCTCAACCAGTCAAACTCAGGAGCAGAGTAGAAGGGTGGGTCCCGGGGAGCAGGAAGGACGGGTGAGGAGATGCTGGCCAGGCATAAAAATTTCATTTAGACAGCAGAAGAGGTTTGGAGAGCTGTAACACAAGCACAAGTGGGGTGGATTCATTGATTAGCTCCGTTGATCATCCTGCAGCACGGACATGTTTCAGGACATCACCTATGCAGCCTTCTGTCATTATTTGTGTATATTCGTATATAGAGCTCTACAGACAGTTGCTATTTACCAGTCCACGCCTTTGCCCGCAGTGTGGTTGTTCCACAACTTCTGAGCCCTTCAGAGGTGGAGGGTGGCACTAGCAAGGCTGTGGTCCTGAGCCAGCATAGCTGGTGGCTTTGTGTGTCAGCGACAGACAGGACTGAAGACCTTGCATGAGGGGAACATTCTTGGTCCTGGGATCCAGGACCCACGGGGCTCGTGAGCAGAGAGGAGGCACGGTGTCCATGCACCCCGCCGTCCACAGAAGTCCTGCGGGCCCTCAGTTGGGAGCCAGGGCAGTGCTGGGGAGCCAGGTGCAGGCTGGTGCTGCATTCAGTGCCAGGCCGGCAGGGCTCTCTGACGTGTCCTGCCCAGCACTCAGCAGATAGCGTGGACAGACGGGGGCTCTCGGAAGAGCCCTTTGACCCGGTCAGGGTGGGGAGGCTTGCTTTTCTGTAGGTGGTCTCTTCTCTCTGCTGTTTCCCTTGCTGTGCTGAAGCTTTTCGGTTCAACACAATCCCATCTTCTATTTTTGCTTCTGTAGCCTGTGCTTTTGAGATCATGTCTAAAATATTACCAAGGACAATGCTGTGGGGCTTCTAAAGGAAGACGGAAATACGAACATGTAAAGGGATGGAGTGTGGACCTGCAGTCGGGTTATACAGCTGGGTGGATCAGATGACAGCACAGTGTGAAGGAAAGACCCTGGATGGGACCCATCCTCTGGGTGGCTGGGCACCACTTTGTCTGGGGGACTCAGCCAGACACCCCAGGGGCAGGGTGGCAGCTGTGAGAGCCAGGCAGCAGGTGCCCTTGTGGGGTGGGCAGCTGTTCTCTGGGTGGCGCCTGTGCCATGCAAGGCCACAGCTTGGGGTGGCCAGAATGGGCGACCCCGGGCGGGTGGCAGGGCCGAGGCAGACACGGCCGAGCGGCTGGCACAGGTGGTGCGCTGCATGTGTTCCGGATGGGCCATCTGCGTGGAGGGTGGTTCTCAGCCTGTGGGTAGCGTCTGCCCGCCCGCTCACCTGTTGTGGGCCGTGTCCCATGCGTCTGCATGGCTCCCAGACGAGGGCAGAGCTGGTCCGCGGCCGTTGGAGCCTGGCTGCCAGCCCGAACGCTTGTTGGGTGGGTGCGCCCGCCCTCTCTCCGTTCTCTTTATTCTTAATTGTCTGTCTGTTTTTGTAAACTGAGTCGTGAAACGTAAAAGTTGCGCTCCTGAGTGGGCTGCCGTGTGATGTTTGAGCCCACCACCCAGCACTTCTCAGGCTGCTGCGGTGTGAACATTCCTGGCACGTTGCTGGCTTCGCGGTCTCGGGTTGGTCTGTCACGTGCAGCTGTCCTGCGGTGCAGCAGGACCCCCGAGCTGCTGGCTCAGGTCAGTTTTGCCCGCTTCACTGGTTCCACTGTTTGTTTATTTATGGGAAGCCACGTGTCCACACATACACACATGAGCACGCACACATGCACGCAGCGAGTTCTTGCCCTGGGGTAGAAATTGCAAACATTTTTCTCGATTCATCATTTGTCTGTTTCTGTGATGCCTGGAGTGAACCCAGGGCCATGTGTGCTCTGCAACTCTGCTGGGCCCGTAAGTGTCAGGGTCTCCGTGGTTTTTTTTTTTTTTTTTTTTTTCCTGGCTACACAGATATTTTAAAAAATGCTTCCAAGTAGTCAGTTGAAATCGTCAAATGTATTAATTCCTCAATATCTTGTGGGTTCAAAATCAGAGAAAAAGCCTGGCGTGGTGGCGCACACCTGTAATCCCAGCACTGGGGAGGCTGAGGCAGGAGGATCGCTGTGAGTTTGAGAGCAGCCTGAGCCACATAGTGAGTTCCAGGCCAGTCTCAACTACACAGTGAGACCCTGTCTCAAAAAAAAAAAAAAAAAAAAAGAGAGAGAGAGAGAGAGAAAAGCATTTGCTATTCTAAGGTTTTATATATAAACCCCTCATCACTTTTAATGTTTTCTTTAAATGCTTAACTACTCGTACATAAAATTTTAACCTATGTATGTGATATCAGTGCTTTTCTTTCAGACTAGAAACCTGCTTTTTCTAATTCCTCCCTGGTTTTCCTCCCCTTCTCACACCATCTCCACCCAGGCCCCCGACTGGTGGGGAGACCCAGGACACAGCTTTGTGCTCGTGATCACAGATGTCCTCAGAAAAGGGTGGTCTTTGTTGACAGAAGACAGTTCACACCCCCACCTGTTTTTAAGTCCCACCATGGGACTCTCAAAGCCCCAGCTCTGCACCTCTTCCTCTACTCAGGCCAATGCCTCAGCTTCCTTGGGCAGGGCTGCAGGGCAGGACTGCCCTTGAGCTTGGTGTCCTGAACTGCTGATGGTATGGTTCAGGCCACTGCCCAGGCCCAGGGCCCCACCAAGCGCCTCAAGTCCCAAGTCCACCACCCAGTCCAGTGTGCCGTCTGCCTGTGAGTGAATCCTCATGCCAGGGCCCACCGTAGCACAGCAGGACATAGAGCTGCCCGGACAGAGAGGGGAGCCTGAAGTGGAGGTGGGGCCCCAGCGCCCATACTGCATTTGAGTTTGTGATGTCCTCCAGGCCCAGCCTCCTCGTGGCTCAGTTGCCTTCTTGAGCTGGCTGTGCCCAGTGAATTGCTTGTGAATGGCAGTCCCTCCTGTGTCTCCGTGCACATTCCTTTTCTTCAGCCTGGTCTCTACCTGTCTTTGTGTCCCCTTCCCATGCCCACAATCCAGCTACACTGTGTACAGCCCCTGGTCCCCTTGGGGTCTCCTAGCAAGGCTGCCTTGTTACAAGAGTGTTGTGGGCAGTCCGGGCTGCAGTGCCTCGTGGCGGGAGGCTGAGGCCTCTCTCGGGGCGCTCATGCTGGCCACAGGGGTGCCCTTACTGTCTGGGATGAAGGTCTCTGGTGTGTGAGTGGGTTTGAGTTTGGGGATGGTTCTGCCTGCCCGCTTCTGGCAGAGCTGTGCAGCCACCATCCTGCTCCATGTGACCCTGGGGCAGCTGTCCTGGGCCTCTGATTCCTGAGAGCCCCATGTGGGCGCTTGCTGTCTGGGGACCTCAGTCACAGGAGGAGCCCTGACTGTCCAAGGTGGCCTTTGACACAGCTCCTTCCCAAGGTTCTCGAACCTTCCTTGCCAGGTTCCAGGCACCTGTGATGGGCTCCAGCCTTCCTGCTGACCCAGAGGTGCCTCATCCCCAGGGGCCCTCCTGTCCCCAGGGTTGATCCCTCTCTGTGGGGCAGATGCCTCTTGGCCCTGTGCAGGGCTTGGTGAAGGAGACCTCCTGAGGCAGAGACCTCTGATGTTCCCAGAGGGGCTAGGTATGTGTCACTCCCCTGTGGCCTGCAGGCTGTGTGTGGGAGTCTTTCTGGTGAATCTGAGGCCCCAGGAGCAGGAGGGCACCTCAGGGCCTGGGCTTCCTGTTGTGTGCCCCTCTGGGGTGCAGGCCTGTGGGTCTACACAAGAGACCCCCAGTCTGGTCTTCTGGGGAGGCACTGAGGCTGCTGGGGCCTCAACTCTGGGATGTGAGGGGCCCCCGTGAAGGGCCCCCATGCGGGCCAGCTCCGGGTAGGCAGTGTGCCTCAGGCAGTCCTGAGGCAGGGAGTAGGGGAGGTCTCCACGGTGAGAGCTGGGCACGAGAGGGTGCTCATGGGTATAGCCTGGTGCCTCTCGGCCTTCATCCCAACCTCGCTGAGCTCCAGGGTGGGCAAGTGGGCAGTGCAGATGGCCTGTGGATGCTGGGGGCCTTGTTCCTGGCACCAGTGTGAGGGCTCTGCGTGTGCCAAGGCCAGGGCATCCTGTCACGGCCAGAGCAGGCCCTTATCCCTCAGGGTACCTGGCGCAGGGCTCCTGTCCTTCGCGGGGCTCCCCATGCTGCTGTGTTGTCCCCAGGCTGACCGGCAGCGAGCCCCTGACCATCCTCCCGCTGACCGTGGAGCCTGAGGCCGTGGCCCAGGCTCATTTCAAGGCCTGCGATCGGCTGAAGCTGGAGCGCAAGCAGCGGCGCATGTGCCGCCGGGACCCGGGCGTGGCCGAGACACTGCTGGAGGCCGTGAGCATGAGTGCGCTCGAGTGCCAGTACCAGTTCCGCTTTGAGCGCTGGAACTGCACTCTGGAGGGTCGCTACCGCGCCAGCCTGCTCAAGCGAGGTGAGTGGGGCGGCCGTGGCCCTGGCAACAGCCCTGCGTGGAACTGGGCCCTTTCGGGGCGACGGGTCTGTCGGGGCTGCCACCTAGCACTGCTACAAACAGTGAAAGCCGGGGTTGGAGACGACCCTGGGCTCTGAGCACCCGGCTGGGCCCACCTCGTGTGCCCCTCGCACCTCTGCAGAGGAGGCACCGGTGCCCGTACGCGTGTACGCAGGCATCTGAGGGCGTCCCAGGTGCACCCCGCTGACGCCCGCTGCCCCGCCCCAGGCTTCAAGGAGACCGCCTTCCTCTACGCCATCTCCTCGGCCGGGCTGACACATGCGCTGGCCAAGGCCTGCAGCGCCGGCCGCATGGAGCGCTGCACGTGCGATGAGGCGCCTGACCTGGAGAACCGGGAAGCCTGGCAGTGGGGCGGCTGCGGGGACAACCTCAAGTACAGCAGCAAGTTCGTCAAGGAGTTCCTGGGCCGGCGCTCGAGCAAGGACCTGCGGGCCCGCGTGGACTTCCACAACAACCTCGTGGGTGTGAAGGCAAGCGGGGCCGGGAGGGAGGGCAGGCCTACCTCTGTCCCAGGCTCCCGCGGGCTTGTTACCTGCGGAACAGATGGGACCCTCGTTAGAGATGTCCTTCGGCCCGGGGAGAGGGGGAGCTAGAGACCGAGGAGTGGCTGGGTCTGGGCCCCTGTGGCTGTCCCAGGCTGCTCGGGCCCCTAGACCCAGCTCCCTAGTTGGACCATCTGACCAGCATGTTGGTGGTCTGTGTCCCAGCTTGCCAGGGTGGAATACAGTCTTGACTCGGAAGACCTAACTTGAGGACATCTGGGGCAGGGGCTTGGGGTGCAGAGCTCACTTCCCCAAGTCAGGGACGGCCAGTTCTGTGTCCCTGGTCCCTGTTTGTGGCCGGACTCTGCTCCAGGGGCCAGAGACCCCATGTAAAGATGGGAAGAGGCGTTTCTCCAGCTGTAGCAGGTCCTTCTCTGTGTGGGGCTGGGCAGGCTGGCGTGGCCGAGCCTTGTGGGAGCTAGCTTTTCTGGCTCCATGTCTGCACTGCTGGCAAAGGGCACTGGATCCCCTAGCTCAGGCTCTGGATGGAGCCCAGGGTCCCTGAACACCAGTCCCTGGACACTGCAAGCCCCCAAGTGCGGGACCAAGGATGGGTCTTGGGAGGGCTGGGCATCCCTGGTCCTGAGCTGGGAGGGGTGAGGTTACTGGGGCTGTCCTGAGCTCTGCTTTATTGAGAATCCCACATTGATTAGAGCCTTCCGACTACCACCCTGGTGCTCTGAGCTGGGCTGGCCAATGGGGAACCCTCTAGGGCAGGCCAGGTCCTTTGATGGGGCTGCTCTTTTCTGTCCTGCGGAACCCCTCCCTCCCTGGTTACCCTTTTGTGAGGCAGTAATGAAAAGCCTGTGTGGAAGGGCCGAAAGCAGCCCTTAGCTCCTTGGGTCCTAGGGCACCACGTTTTAGTTAAATTTGACTTTCTCACTAAAGCACCATTAAGGGTAGGAGAGTGGGGGAGCGCTGTGCAGTTCCTGATCTCCGTCCAGCAGCCCTTGGTGGTCTACACAGGAGCTCAGTGCTTGGACAGGGCCTTGCTCCCCACTGTGCTGACTGTGGGGTACCTGCAGGGACCCACATCCCACAGGAAGCTGGCTGTCTTGGGGAGCACTCAAGGTCCCAGAGGTCCTGGATGTGAGTGTGTAGTCATGCCTCCTGCCTCTGGGGTGCAGCTCCTCCTCTGGGGTATGCCTGGGTGCCCTCCTGGGGTGCGAATCTCACTGGGAGGTGTCCACATCCAACCCTACAGGCTGACCCACAGGTGGCACCTGCATGGTAGCTGTGCCCAGGTGCAGACCCCTGGGTGAGGGCACACGGGTCCAGCGTCCCTGGACCTGCAGAGACCTGACCGGTGTGGGTAGTGGATGGTGGCAGAGACAGAGATGCTGTGAGGCCAGGGTGACCACTGTGGGGCAGATGTGCGGCCCCTGTCTGGGGCAGGCGCTGGGGCTCCATGTGACAGGTGCAGTGACCCCTGCTGGCTGGGCCTGACACCCTCACCCTGGGCTCTGTCCGTAGGTGATAAAGGCCGGAGTGGAGACGACCTGTAAGTGCCATGGCGTGTCAGGCTCCTGCACCGTGCGGACCTGCTGGCGGCAGCTGGCACCTTTCCACGAGGTGGGCAAGCACCTGAAGCACAAGTACGAGACAGCGCTCAAGGTGGGCAGCACCACCAACGAGGCCACTGGAGAGGCGGGTGCCATCTCCCCACCCCGGGGCCGGGCCTCGGGGACCAGCAGTGACCCGCTGCCTCGTACACCAGAGCTGGTGCACCTGGATGACTCGCCCAGCTTCTGCCTGGCTGGCCGCTTCTCCCCAGGCACAGCTGGCCGCCGGTGCCACCGAGAGAAGAACTGCGAGAGCATCTGCTGCGGGCGTGGCCACAACACGCAGAGCCGGGTGGTGACCAGGCCCTGCCAGTGCCAGGTGCGCTGGTGCTGCTATGTGGAGTGCCGGCAGTGCACCCAGCGCGAGGAGGTCTATACCTGCAAGGGCTGAGCCCTGCCGCAGCCAGCCGTGCTCTGTGGGTGTAGACATTGCACCTGGAGGGAGGAGGACTATTCCTGCAAGGGCTGAGCCCTGGCTGCAGCTAGTCCTGCTCTGTGGGGTGCAGGCACCCATACAATATGAGGGGTCTACACTACCAGGGCTGAGCCCCCAGGTCCGACAGGCCCTGCTCTGTGGGTGTAGACATTGCACAGTGTAGGGGAGTCTATACCTGGTGTAGACATTGCACCTGGGCTCTACACCTGGAAAGGCCAAGCCGCTGCCCATGGCAGTAGGCATCTGTACCTGCCAGGGCTTTGGCTCTGCCAGCTTGCCGTGGCCAGGGGCTGGTGCAGTGGCCCCTGCTTGGCTCCCCTCTGCCTTGCGTGTACCCTGGGCTACAGCTTCCTCCCCTGACACGAGAGCATTGTTGCAGTGCTTTCTGAGTTGTCTCTGTCCCCAACACACCTATCCCTGGAGTGTGACCCTCATCTGGTCTCTTGACTGCCCCTCTCTGCCTCCAGGCTCACTCTGAGGCTGGGGGGCCCGTGCACCTTTGTGACCATGTGGCTGCCCTTGGGGATAGCCTGGCACCCGGCACCGGCACCAGCACTGTGTTCAAAGAGTCAAACCACTAGGAGAGAGTGCCAGCTGCCTGTGTCCAGCTTTGCCGCCCAGGGGCCAGGCTTGGGGGTCTTTGCTGTCCCTCTCTGACATTGAGCACTTCTTTTGTTGGAGTGAAATCAGTAACTTTTAAATTATTATTCTTATTTAACTAATGTAATAATTATTAATACCCCCTACCCCCATGCCACCTCCCTGGTCATGCTCTCTGGTGGCACCTAGAGCCAGTCTGGGAGGCTCGGAAGGTTCTCCTTCCCTCCCCACCACGCCCCACCTGTTAGCTTTGACCTTTGAAACCACTATTCCAGATTATACTGTTGCTGAATGAACAGATGCCTGGCCACAGTTCTTGGGGCCTCTGGACGCCACCACACAGTGGCAGAGCCACACGGTGGCCCTTGCTCTGCACCTTGCAGCAGAGAGCCCAGTGCCCAGGGCAGGAGTGGCTGTGGGTGGGTGTGGTGAAAAGGCAGGGAGGCGGGGGGCACGGGTGCAGTCTGCCTAGCCTTGGCCACAGGTTGCTCTTCTTTTGGTAGTGCTGTCTTTGCCAGGGAAGTGGCCAATGCCAAAGGGATTGGTTTGAGGGTGTGTGTGTGTGTGTGTGTGTGTGTGTGCGTGGTGTGCACACGTGTGTGAGGTAGGCTGGAGTGGGCAGCTGGGTTGCACCCCTTCTCGGAGCACCACATGGTGCTTCTGTGGCCTGGGCTCTTCAGGCGGTGTCCCTGCGAGCATAGCTGGGGTCTGGGCAGGCAGCAGGTGGACGCTGGGACTACTGAGTGAGGAGCAGCTTCCTCAGGGGCCCAGGAAGGTGGGGGACTGTGTCAAAGAAAGCCTGTTTCTGGGCATATGGGTCTCTGGCCAACCCTGGATGGTACACTTGGAAAGGTTAGCTCTGTGATCGATGACAGCCGGGTCACAGCCCACCCCCAGGGCCCAGCGTGGTGGTAGTGTGAGGTCAGGCTGGAGGTAGGTGGGCTGGCAGGTGAGAGTCCCCATTCCCCTGCCATCGGTGCTGCAAGCCCCGCAGCGGACCTGCCAGGTACCCTCTGCAGCCGAGCTCGGCCCCAGCACGTATGTGGCATGGTTTTGCCAAGTCAAGGGAAGGATGTTTTTATCAAATACCACATTTAGCTCTGTGTCCTCAATATTCAGAAAAGTATTTTTAAGCAAGGTGGACTGCACACGTCTGCTGGCTGTTTCTATGCAATGTGTGTTAGAGTGTCCTGCTCGCTGTGGCAGCAGCTCTGCGGTGGGCAGGGTGGAGGGCAGGGCGGGTCCCCGCCCCCGGCCCGCATGAACCCAGACCCCAGGCTCGCGGTGGCTGGGCGGCCGGGGCATACGGGATGTCTTTGTGCTGAGTCTGTGCGAGCCTGTTGATTTCTCTACCTCATCTGTGTAGTGAGTAGGTATGTACCTGAGGGACTGTGGAGAATGTATTTATTTAACAGCTTTGTATAGCAGAGCCGGAAACAATGGAAACACTAAATAAACGTATTTTAAGTTATAGCCAAACTCAGCCCAGCGCCTTCATGAGGACCCCAGGGGGTCAGGACAGTAGATGGGGGGGTGGGGGGGACACGAGGAGGACCTGGGGTAGAGGAGGATGTGGACAGGATGGGCACTTGGGGCGGAGGAGAAGGACCTGGAGAGAACATGGGGTGGAGGCAGAGGAGAGGAGGAGGAGGACTCTGGAGAGCAGGAGGACGTGGGCGTGGAGAGTCTGCAGTGGGGGAGGGGTCTTGCGGGGCGTTGTGGGGAGGAGGTGGAGTGTGAGGATGTGGGAGGAGCAGGCTGGGAAGAGGAAGAGGACTTGGAGTGGGGAGGACGCGGAGAGGAGACGCGGGAGGGGAGATGTGGTGGGCGGAGATGGGGAGGAGAACGTGGGAAGGAGGAGGCAGAGGAAGAGGACAGGACTTGGGCGGATGTGGAGGCGGTGGGACACGGGGAGGAGAGGAGATGGTGGGGAAGGGGGGGAGCACGTGAGCGTGTGGGAGGAAGATGTGAAGAACAGGAGCGTGGGCCGGAGGAAGGCCTGGGTAGGCAAGGTGTGCAGAGGAGGGGCGGACAAGAGGAGGCTCTTGGAAGGAGAAGCGCAGGAGGTCATGGGTAAGAGCAGGAGGGGGTGACCGAGGGAGAGAAGATGGGGCGAGCCGTGGACGGGGCTGGGCAAGGCCTCCCCTGGGGTCATCCCCGTGCAGGCTCTTGCTCCCTGGGTCCCTGCGTGGCCTGCAACCCTGTCCTGCCAGGGTCCTCACCGCATGCCTGCTGTTCCCACGGTGTTGCCAGCTTCTGCTGTGACCACACCAGTGGACTCCGTGCCCCAGCTTCCATTCTGCATCCTGAGCCAGTCCTGCCCTGTACATGGGATCTGCCCACCACAGATGTGGATTGTGGCTGTCAAGGTCCAAACCCCTGCAGACCCTGGCGCTGGACCCGACACGGGCACTGTGGCTGGGCAGGCCAGCAGGCACGGGCAGAGCCCTCCTTGCCTGGGCACGTGACCATGGTGCTCCCTGGTGTGTCTCCCCATCAGTGCTGGGCCCAGCAGTGTAGGCTGGGGTCCTGGTTGGGGGTACCACGTGTGTGTTCCAGGCCTGGGTTGTGAGCATGAGTGTGCTTGCATCTGTGTCTGTGTGTCACACAGGTGTGTGTCATGTGTCTGTGCGTTATGTGTGTGCATGTACAGTCGTGACCACCTGTGGCCTCTGCACATGTCTCTGTGTGGGTGTGGTGTACACGGGTGTGAGCCCCGTCTCCAGCCCAGCTCTCTGGCCTGTAGGGCTGTGAAGCCCGGGTGGGTGGAGACCCCCATCCCGGGCTGCACTGCCCACTGCCCACCTGCTCCAGGCGGGGTGGGAAGGAGGCTCTGGCCTAGAGTGTGGGTTATGCCTTGCTGGGCCAGCTGCAGGGGAAGGGGGAGCAGTGTGTGCCCCATGGCTCAGCTGCCTCAGGCCTCCACAGGCTGGGACACAGGTGGCAGGGTGAGCCGGGCTCCAGCCGGGCTCCAGCCGGGCAGCACTACCAGTCTGCTGGACCAGCGGGTGCCTGGCTCCCCTCCCAGGGCAGGCAGTGGGACACTGCTGGGGATGAGGTAAGCAGGCCTGTTAGGTAATGTCTCCACGGGGCATGCACGGGAAGGGGCAGGCGTCCCCCAGCTGTCCACACCTGGAGGTGGAGGTGGGTGTGGCAGGGGGACGGGGAGGGAGAAGAGGGGAGGAGAGGAAGAGGAAGAGGAGGAAGAAAGGGCAGGGGGAGACAGAAGAGAGGAAGGAGCAGAGACGGCAGCCCAGTGCAAGAGCCCAAGCCATGTGGGCACTATGGCCTCGCTGCCGTGGGTTGTGGACTGTACAGTGTGGGGGCCAGCAAAGGCTGTGGATGGGAGGAAGGGCCGGTCTGGGGCCTGGATGGGGTGCTGAGGTCAGGAGACCCCGGTCAAGTTGAATCCTCTTGGCTAGGCCTGGACTGCACAGGGCCCCTTCCCTGTGGCTCCTCTTGCATCCTCTGTCTGGCCTCACCCAGGACAACCTGTGCCCTGCAGCTGCCTCCCGGATGCAGGCTGTGTGTGTACGGGCTGTGCATGGCGTCCCCTCTGTGTCGGTCCCCGTGGTGTCCTCTGGCCTGGGCCCCTCCTTGCCCAGGACCGTCCACACCCTGCTCCCACGTGGCACCCACACTGCTGCCCCTTCCGCCATGTTCCTCCAGGTCTGGTCATTTCCTCCGTGTCAGCTCCCCAGGGGCACATGGCTGACCTGGCCCCCGGGGGTGGTACAGGAGAGCAGGCTGCACTCTGGGCCAGGAGCAACGGCGTGCGAGGAAGACAGAGATCGGGGTGAGGACAGAGCCTGGGCCCTGGGTGGGGATGGTATTGCTCTTCTGCCCTGTCCCTCTGGGGCCTTGGTTTTCCCAACCCATGTGGGCTGATGGCCACAGTCTGGGTCTGGTGGCCTCCGACCTTGGTGGCATCTCAAATGAGGCTGGTGGGGCTGCGGGGCCAGTCCCGGCCAGAGGCCTTGCTGGATGCCCCGGGGAGGGGGACAGTGCAGGGGGGTCCAGCTGGTTGCCAGGGAAACTGGCACCAACAAACACTGTCCTCCCAGCCTGCGGGGGTGAGATGACCTCATCTGCCCACCCACTGCACTGCCGGCTGGAGGTGGGGGGTCCAGTGTTTGTGTTGGGCCCTGGGCCATGGAAACCAAAGCGGGAAGCAGCAGCGGGGCTGGGGGCTGGGGGCTGGGGGCTGGGTGCGGCAGCTCCTGCTGTGCAGCTGTGGTCCAGAGCCAGCCAGGCCTGGCCTCCCATGCAGGCCATGGAAGGGGGGCACCGGGGTGGCCCTGGAGAGCGCGGTGCAGGACAGGAGGGTGGCGTGCAGGTGGGGCTTAGGTGGAGCTGGAGGGGTCAGTGCTGGGCGGACTTTACCGGAAGCCCAGCCCTGCAGACTCAGAGCCAGCTGCCGCCCTTGGGTCTTGGTCAGTCCACAGCAGCCGCACGCCGGCCCTCTGTCTCTCTCTCTCTCTCTCTCTTTCTCTCCACGTACCTTGCTCTTCTGTTCAGTCCATTTGAGAGCGAGCTAGAGTGTCTGACAGTCGCCCTGGAGGACAGTTTCCCATGCCTCAGTCGCCACTCAGCCCCTGCCCTGAGAGCTGTCTCTGTGCCCCCGGGCCGGGCCCTGTCACAGCCTCTCGGGTCCTGGGTCTACTCTCTGCTGCCGAGTCCCTGGGACACCGTCCTTTCTCACAAAAGCCCTTCCTGTGCTTTGTTTCTTGTTGTCCCAAGGATGTGGAGTTTTTCTTTCTCTAAATGCTGTGCGCCATTCAGGCTCTGGTGTTAGGACGTTTTTTGGGTTTCAGGATATGTACATAGGTCGTGCATCCCAGTCCCCCAGATCCCCATTCCTCCAAAATACTGCACCCTGAATCTCTTTGGACCTCGTGCAGATGTTCAGAGTGTGCATGTGCCGGGCTTGGGAGCAGGGCAGGCTTGGGGTTCAGGATGCTGCGGTCAGCTCTGTGCCAGGCACACCCCACCGAATCCTCACCCTCGTAGGCCAGGAGAGCCTGAGGGAGTGGCCCAGCAGGCCCCGCTTTGATAGCCACCTCCCTTGGTGCCTTGGCCGAAACCAGCACAGGTGACCCAGCCTCCACTCGGGACCCTGCCAAGCTCACCACAGTGGGGCTGGTGGCGCCCTGGAGATGCCACCACTCACAGGGCTCTGTTCTTCGTCTCTCTGGGAACTTGCTCCGAGTGCCAAGGATCCTTGGCAGAGGTGAAATGTGAGCCAGATGTTGGGACACACGCCTGTGATCCCAGCACTCCAGAGGCTGAGGCAGGAGGATCACTGTGAGTTCGAGGCCAGACTGCACTGCATGGTGAGACCCTGCCTCAAAAACAGAACCAATAAATGAAGTGAAGTATAGTCTGACTGATGTGCTTTCAGAACCTCCCCAATGCTCTGGGCAGATCTGAGAAGGAAAACTGTCTGCAGGAATGAATGATAAACCAGCCACTGAGAATGAAAATGTAGCTCATAACATAAAAATATTTTTCAGTGAAAGCTGGAAAGAGAAAGTGCAAGAAATCTAGTGACCCATCAGGCCCTGTCCTGGCCTCTGCAGCAAGTCATCCCTGCTGCCCAGCTGCCCGTATATGTCGCAGCGAGCTGCCCAGGCGCTTCTGCACACTCCGCACAGCACACCCTGGTCCCCCAGGGGAGGCGTCTCTCTGGGGCTGCGCCAGGGTGACGGGAGCCTCAGGGCCTGCAGGCATGGACAGGAGCGGCAGGCACCCTGGTGGCTGTGGCGGGAGGGCAGTGGCTGCCGCTGCCTGCTTGAGCTCTGGTGTACGCCAGCCTGAGCCATCAGATGCACAAGTGTGGGCCGGGCAGGTGTGGGCCGGAGCTGGCCAGGAGGTGGAGCCTGATGGCTGATTGGAGACAAGGCAGTGTCCTCCTCCCCCTGTCTCTGTCTGTCTCTCTCTCTCTCCGTGTCTCCCTTGCTCTGTCTCTGTGTCTCCCTGTCTGTCTGTCTCCCTCTGTCTGTCTCTCTGCAAAGCAGAGATCACAGCAATCTGTGGATCTTTCAGTTGAAAAGCAGGGCCAGATTTATAAGCTTATTTTTTATGCAAAAATAAAACAAAATTTCCTAACGAGAACAGTAGTTAATGTGCTGTACTGTTATCTTCAGTGTAGTTACTCAGAGTACAAGACCTAGGCCAAAAAGAGTCTTACAAGAGAGAGAAACAGATAATTAAATCTTTCTTTTCAAGGAACTAAGATAAATTAGTAGTATAAATGAAACAAACTGGCATACATATTAAAAGATTTTTGAAACAACAGCATATGTAATTTGGAGAAGTATATGAATTTCTCCCCACTTCTAATTTATCTCCTTCTATGTTGCTCTTTATTTGTGTTTATAAATTTTGTATTTCTCATAGAGAAACTGTGATATTTGAATTTTTGTATTTAATTTATTTGACTTGACAATATCTAGTTTTATCCATTTGCCCCCAAGTGCCTCATTT